CATATCAAAGAAAAACAAGTATGTTATATTTTAAAAACTATTCATTAGACATAGAAAAAGAATATCTTGTTATATTTAGCTTCCATTTCTTAGTAATGTTGTTATTATCGGTCGTTTACGAGATTCTTGGGATAAACAACCTGAACTTGGAGGTTTGAATTAATCTTGGATGTTGTGTTCTTTTTTTTCTTTGAATATATTCAATTTTTTTTTTTCATAGATTATTATCAAAAATTTATAAATTCTTTACCAATTACTATTGAAAAAACTTTCGACAGTCAGCAACACAATACACCTGAAGACAATAATGTTCAACCGGCTACTGGTCTCTTACTTATTTTTCCAACTCTTTTTATTCATTATCTTGAAGTAACAAATTCAGCAATGAAATCTATTCTTGAAGATCTTAATCAATCAATTAATAATCGTGATGGTCTTATACGAGAAGCATTGATTCTTAATATATCTTATAATGTTTATATTTTTTGAATATAATTAAATTTGAGATCATAATTATTTTTCTTTAGATTCAAACAAGACTTTATCCAAATTGGTCATTTAAAAGTATTAAATTAGCTGTCGAAGATCTTGATGCTCAACCAGCTGAAACACCAGAAGCAATTGCTATAGAAATTCTTAGTAAATTATTGAGATTAGCACGATATCAAGCTGAAGAACGACAACGAAATGTAATGATTGAATATTTAATATTGTTTTAATTGTATTTGTTTTTACATAAAAAGGAACGATCAGGTGATGTTCTTGCAAATTTTGATCAACAACGAGCTGATTTATTACCTAATCAAGGTAATCAAAAACAGAAGAGTTTATATTATTAACATTAGCTTTTCTATTAAAGTGAATATTAATTTTCTTCTTAAACAACCAATCTTTCGAACAGCAGAAGATATTCTTAAAAATTATAATCGTCCAATTAATGTTCGATTTGAAAGTGGTAAGTTCGATTATCTTTTTGTTTTTTCTTCAACTAAATTGTTTTTTTTCTTTTCGCCTATCTATTAGATTTGACTGCACCACCAACTCATAGATTGTTTCCAATTACTTTTTAATTATTCGTTTATTTTTATCGATTATTCTATATCATTTTTCTTTTCTTTGTCATTATAAAAGAAAAACGATTCGATCACAGAAGAAGGACATTTACTACATAATAATTATTCTGCCTTTTTTTTTTGAAAATATTTTCATCGATCAAAATAGAATCTTTCTATTCATGATAAAGATCTATGAAAATTGGTAATACACGCGTGACTTGATTCACTCATATCAGTCATACAACTATTCGATTGATTCAAGTAGTTGCCAAATAAATATATATACTGGAGATGATCTTATCGACAAAAAAACAATAATGGTATATCCCCATTGTATATTGACGGAATGAGCTAATTTATTTTCTTGATGATAGAGAAGCCTAGAAAATTTATATTCATGAATTATCAGTTTATTCATACACTTGAAATCGAGCACTATTAACTGTCTTGCTTTTCAGATACTACCACGAGTAGTTTATCACAAAACAATATAGAGATCTGAGAATTTTTGCTTTGATGAATGCAATTTTGTAGAACTTTTTTCGGATAATCATTTAGATAAAAAGGTTTTCTTAGTTTTATCAAGACATGAAGATGTTAGCATCAAAATGCTGGTAAAAGTCAGATTGCTTCAGAAGCTCATAGCAATTTGATATTTTCAAATATTTTGAATTCAGTACTGTCAAATTGTTGATGAAAATAAAACATTCTTTCCACCAGAATGATCAATAAAAAAGTTTCTACAAAATGGATTATATCGGAAAATATTCGAACTCTTTTGTATCTTTATGATTGAATACCTATGTAAGCACTCCGTCAAAAGTTAACTGTTTATTAGGAAAACTTAAAGATTCATAATAAAGTATTTTAAAAATTGAAAAAATTTAAGAACAGGACAATTGGAATAATAGTACAGAAATCTAAAATCTATTATTTATCTTCGCTATTAATAATACCTAAAAGTGATGTTACTAAAATTTTTGCTGATAAATATAAACTTGAACTCTTCTTTATGAGTCGAACGAGAAATTAACTCATTCGATCCAAATACACTGAAAATATTCAATTCTTTTTTTTTTCTTGGGAAGTTGTTTCTCGGACATTTAGTACATAAGTATGATTTTTTGAATCTTCTTGTTCAATTTGTTTATTTTCATAAAGGTTTTTAATCCAATATTTATACCAATATCAAGTTCAATTCATCATGCAACACACATGAAGCAATAACATGCTGTGATGTTGCTTCTGTAATGAGTCAATATATTGAAACATGTTTTAATATTACTACTTAGGGTATACCAAAAGTTCTGACCACGACGTTTAAAGGACCTTTTTGGATAATGTGGCCGATTTAAAAAATGAGAAACCAAATATACCATGTTGTAGAGCTTTTCAAGGCACATCGAATAGTATATAGTAAATTCGGTTTCCATAAGACTTTGAAGGAATTAGAGGCAATTTACTGCTAGACGACTACGCATTCTAATCCACACCCATACACAAGCATGATAAGTTAATGAGTATTGTGGTCCTTGGTATTAATCGAAAGTATTTGTAAAATACTTTTTCTCACATAAGTTTTTGTGGAGTTTTGACGAGCTACAACCTCATATACGTAGGATCTTCAGTCATCTTGTTGTTGTAGATGTGGATAGGTGTGGGTATAGATGTGTAATACTCTATCAGTAAATTGACTCTAGTTTCTTGAAAGTCTTATGAAAACAGGATTTACTGTATACCATTTGACGCGCCTCAAAAAGCTCTACAGCATAGTACATTTGGTTTATCATTTCTGAATAGGTCACCTTATCCAAAAAGGTCCTTTAAACGTTGTGGTCAGAACTTTTGGTACACCCTAAGTATAATAAAAGAGCAAGAAGCATATCTTCATCGCACTTGTTCTTTCTCAAAATAAAAGGACATTTTCATAAATAAAAAGGCTAAGGTGGTAGCATAAATTGTAATTGAGAAATTACATTCGACTATACAATGACGCGTCATATTATGGTTGATGTAAGTAAACAAACAAATGCGTAGCGTCATTTTGATTTCGAATCATCTATTCCAGCTTTATAAATTATTTTTCAATACTATCAATTAGCTATTAATGCTTTAAATTCCCTTGATTATGACAATGCTAATGAGTATTTTGCAAAAAGAAAAATGACGTCTACACTTCAAGGCATTTATTAGCAAATCTTCTCTTTGTATTTTTGATATCAATGAATTAAATTTTGATTTTTATTCACATTCAATTTGGATCGAATTAAATAACAGATAACTTCAACTCGATGTTAGTATTAATATTATGATGCCTATTCAATTTGCAGAACTAAATGTACGAGCATGTATAAGTTGTGTGACAAATACGATTACTCTATGTCAATCAACAAATGAGCACAAGCCCCAAAGGTTTAACCAATGATTATTTCATTTTACTTGTTGATATTTTTAAGAAAAAAAAGTAACCGATAAATGTTCCCACGGCAGTTTAACAAATACAATAAAATATGATGATGTTATTGATGGTATTAATATTGTTTGCTCAAACAGTTTATTGAGTAATATATAAAATTTTACGCCATTTATGTCTTCAAGTTCATGATACTATTTTTGATAAAATTGTTAATGTTGTGAATCGATAAAGAACTTCTAGTCGATCATTTTTTTCTCACTACATCATCAACAAATCGAAATTTGTATCACTATCTTAAATAATATACGTAAAGTAAACATCTTTTCTTTTATTTAACAAATTGTAGCATTACTAACTATTAAATTATGTTATAAGACACATATACTTTCAATAGGAACACATCTACATATTACAATTTGATATGTAGTTTTCATGTTTCGTGGAAGTGTTTTTGATTTTGCATAAGTTTTAAGAAAATTTACTGATGATTTATATGTTTATTAATCTAATAAAGATCAAGTTAATGTCAATACGAATGCAAATGAACAAATACAATTAATCGATTTATTGTATTCAAAATGTGCATCAAATCATGTTTCAACGATAATTAATAATAACACATGTTCAAATCCTTTTTTAGAACTTATTTCTAATAATATGATTTTGTCATTCAATAGTTCAAAATTAAAAATTTCTAAACAATTTATTTTGCCATCATATATTTTTACCGATAGAACTTATTATAGATTGCATTTATATTTGATTTATGTTTATTATATTATAGTGAATTTTATTTTTCTTTCAATTTTGTATGTTAAAAGATAATAATTCTCTTCATTCAAGTCATGTGAAATTGGAAGAAATTTAATTCAAAATCAAAATATTGTTCCTTGTAATAAAACGTGAAGATGATAATATTACAATAAAAAATATATTCATAACAATGGTTAACGAAATGAATGCAAAATATATGAAGAGTTTTATTTCAATTAATTCGTGATTCAAAAAATAATTGTTGAATAATAAATCTGACAAATATTTCATCAAAATTAGTTCATTTTAATAAGCCATGAAAATATCAAAAATTAAAAACACTTATGAAATATTAATTAAAATAAATTTTCTTGAAAAAAATACTTGATCTTTTATAAAAACAAACAAAAGAATATACATTAATTGCAAATGAAACTTATGATAATCAAATTACATTTAATTAGAATACGGAAAAAAATTATATAATTGACAATATATGCCTGCTTTAACAGTTACAACACTTAGATCAGATTGGGATTACGCGATTATTTTGTTATAGATTTTTTTCAAATAATTTTCTTCTAAAGAAACTAATTCAAATAGTGATAAAGGCAATGCTGTGTGGATACATACTATAATAGAACCGAGTATTACATGACACGTCAGAAACGAACATGATAAGTGCAAAGTACAGAACGAGAGAAAAAATATGGTTCTATTCTGGAGAGCATACAATTTGTTTTGCCCAAGCATTACTAGTTGAAGTCAATACAGAAATGTTACTACTAACAGGCATCCTGATTACTGTTCTCTTAGCTGTTATCATTGCCTATTTTTTCCATCTTCGGCAAGCCTATGAATTTTTCAAGCGATTAAATATTCCTGGTCCACCACCAATACTTTTATTTGGTAATTTTCTCGACTTCGTTAAAACTAAACGATTGTCAATTTCAATTACACAATGGACAGAAAAATATGGTCGTATTTTTGGTTATTTTGAAGGACATACACCAATTTTAGTTATATCTGATCCTGATATATTACAAGATATATTTATTAAATCATTTTCAAATTTTCATTCTCGTCGTCCTTTTCCACTCGAAGAACAACATTCTAAACAAGTACATGTTTTTAGTGCGACTGGTCTTCGTTGGAAGCGACAAAGATTTATTATTAATCCAACATTTTCATCGGCTAAACTTAAACAAATGTCTCCACTTGTTCATCGAAGTATTAGCATACTCATGAAAAAGATGTCTGAAGAATATAATAAAGGTGAACCATTTAATATCTATGCATATTATAAACGATTTACTATGGATACTATATGGTCATGTGCTTTTGGTATTGATACAGATATGCAAAATAATATTAATGATCCATATTTAATTTGTTCACAAACTGTATTCGATGAGGAAAATGCTGTCAAAGTTTTAGTACTTTTATCTTTGTTTATCAAAGAATTAAATAATGTCTGGATTAAATTTCATCACATAAACAATTTTATACGTTACTGGTTTTTGCGTATTTTTCCATTAGCAAAGAAATTTATTCAAGAAGAACCATACAAATGGATTATGAGACAAACATATAAAATGATGGAAAAACGTGAACAAATTGGTCCAATGAATCGAACAGATTTAATGCAATTAATGCTTGAATCAGCATCCAATGAAGATTTTATTCAAGTATGACACTTAAAATTTTTTTTTTTCTATATAAAAAGAAAAAGACAAAGTTATCTATTGTTGATTTTAAGGATGGTCAAACATCTGCTATGAAAAAAGAAGAAAAAGAAAACGAGCCACCACTAATTCGAAAATTGACTAAACATGAAATCGCATCTAATATTTATCTATTTAGTGAGTTCTAGCGTTAAGTATTGATAATTTTTTATTATTTTTGATTATTAGTGATTGCTGGTTACGAAACAACAAGTACAGCACTTAGTTATATTTCTTATGTTCTCGCAACTCATCCTGATGAACAACAAAAATTACAAGAGCATATTGATATTCATTTCGATTCTGAAACAGAAGATGATATGCCATCTTATGATACAATATCACAAATGGAATATTTAGATATGTTTGTTCGAGAAACACTTCGTATGTATCCCATATTACCGATAGTAATTAATCGTCAAAGTATGGAAGAGTTTCATATCAAAGATATTGGTACAATTCCAGCTGGTACATATATTGCAGTTGATATTTATCATTTACATTTCGATCCTGATTTGTGGGGTCCTGTTGATCCACATATATTTTATCCTGAACGTTTTGCTACAAAACGACATGCCATGGCATGGATTCCATTTGGAGCTGGACCAAGAAATTGTGTTGGAATGCGTTTTGCTTTAATGGAATTAAAAATGGTACTTGTTCGTCTTCTCAAAACATATTCACTGGTCAGCTGTGGTAATCAAACATGTAAACCATTCGAAAATCTGAAAGAATATATTGTAATTGCACCAGAACATGTTATTATTTGTTTAAAACGTCGAAATGAACATCAGAATTAATCATTATATAGACATAAAGTTTATAAAATTTCTATCCAATAAATACAATATATTATTATTTTATTTCATTAAATATAAAAAAAATATTATGTTTTCATAGGAAAGTTATTATGTAAGAAAACAACTCAAGATCACGTGATGTGTCGAGCCTCACCTTTCACTTGGACTGTAATCAAGAGTAGCATCACTCGGGGCAAAATATGCCTAGGTGTCCGCCGACAATACTAATTGTACGAAGAGAACGAACGAAGAGAAAAACATAAAGGAATCAGTACGAAAATGCGAGTCAAAACAAAAAAAGAAAAACAGCAAACACAAGTCGTCCAGGTTTGAGAAAGAACAACGACAAAACGAAACGTGTTTTTGTCAGTCATACCATAAATAAAATATGTTATTACTTACAAGCATTTTGCTTGCATTACTTCTAAGTACAATTGTTGCTTATTTATGGCATATTCGATCAGCATATGAATTTTTCAAAAAACTCAATATTCCGGGTCCACCACCAATACTCTTCTTTGGCAACTTTCTAGATGTTATCAAAAGTAGACGATCATCTTTAACCATCAAAAAATGGACAGAAAAGTATGGTCGTATTTTTGGTTATTTTGAAGGACATACACCAATTTTAGTTATATCTGATCCTGATATATTACAAGATATATTTATTAAATCATTCTCAAATTTTCATTCTCGTCGTCTTTTTCCATTGGCAGATCAAAATGCCAAATTAGGAAACATGTTTTCTGCATCAGGACTTCGGTGGAAACGACAAAGATTTATTATTAATCCAACATTTTCATCGGCTAAACTTAAACAAATGGCACCACTCATAAATCGAAGTATTAGTATGTTTATGAAAAAAATATCTGAAGAATATAATAAAGGTGAACCATTTGATATCTATGCATATTATAAACGATTTACTATGGATACTATATGGTCATGTGCTTTTGGTATTGATACAGATATGCAGAATAATATTAATGATCCATATTTAATTCATTCTCAGCAACTGTTCGGCGAAAAAGTCAATGTTCGATTAATTGTTCTTATAGCATTGTTTATTAATGAATTGAATAAATTTTGGAGAGCAATTCATTTATCAATAGGGTCTATCAGTTATTGGTGTCGTCATTATATTCCAATAACAAAACGGTTCATTGATGAACATCCTCCAATATGGATTATGAAACAAGCATACACAATGATGGAAAAACATCAACAAGTTGGTCAAATAAATCGTACTGATTTATTGCATTTGATGTTGGAGTCAGCATCAGATGAAGAATTTATTCAAGTAGGATTAGTTCGTTCTCTTTTAAAGAATCAATCTCACTAGATCGATTCAAATGTATTCGTTAAGCTTTGTACGACAGATGTTTACTGAGATCTCCTCGAACAAGTAATCTTTAAATAGCATTAAGAATATGCATGAGTCTATGTTCTCGAAGTGTTCTAAGAATATACTGTTCTTATTTATGCAGAGCATTTCACAAAGTAAAATGATTTAATTGTTTTCGTTTCAAATGTGTCAGGTAAGATATTGAAAACAACTTTGACAATAACTCAAGATTCAAACTCTGGTGACATGTGCTGTTTTCGAGTTCTTGTAAATTAATTAAGTTCTCGTCATAAAATAATTCTGATTTAGTGGAAAATCGAATTTGAAATTGGATTGCTCGTTTGATCCTTATCGCAAACTTGTTAAGTTTCAAAGACTTTAGTTATTATATATTTATCTTGTAGATTTTAAAGTCATTTCAGAGTATATCACACTTTCGAGATATTCTTTGCGTCTTTTCATTATTAAATATCATAATAAAATCTTATATAAAAGCCTAAGAATGAAATTTTAGGAAAAAACTTGTTTTGATTGTTAGATATTAGTTATTATAACTGAACAATCTTCAAGAATATCTATTGTTATTATGTTTACTATTTGTATTTATTGTTTCATAGGATGGTCGCGCAACTGATGTTACCAATGAAGACACAGAAATCGAACCGCCACTCATTCGAAAACTTACTAAACATGAAATAGTATCTAATATTTTTCTCTTCAGTGAGTTAAATTTATTATTTCTAGTCTTTAGATTTCTTTTGTCTTCTAGTGATCGCTGGCTATGAAACAACAAGTACAGCACTTAGTTATATTACTTATGTTCTCGCCACACATCCAAATGAACAACAAAAATTGCAAGACGAGATCGATGCTTATTTTATTCCTGAGACTCAAGATGATTTGCCATCGTATGATACAATGTCTGACATGACTTACTTGGATATGTTTATTCGAGAAACTCTTCGCATGTATCCTATTGCACCAGTAGTCGTCAATCGTCAAAGTATTGAAGATTTTCATATCAAAGGTATTGGTACGATTCCAGCTAGTACACGTATAGCTGCTGATATGTATAGTTTACATTATGATCCTGATTTGTGGGGTCCTGTTGATCCGCATACATTTTATCCTGAACGATTTGCTACTAAAAGACATGCAATGGCATGGATTCCATTTGGAGCTGGACCAAGAAATTGTGTCGGAATGCGTTTTGCTTTAGTTGAACTCAAAATAGCACTTGTTCGTCTTCTCAAAACATATTCAATAGTCAATTGTGGTGACCTAACACATAAACCATTCGAACAATTAACAGAAACCTTTGTCATAGCACCAAAAAAAGTTATTATTCGATTACAACATCGAGATGAACATCATGCATAATTGAATGACTTTTAGACTCTTTTTATACAAAATAAAAAATATAATCATGCAATTAATACTATTTGTTGAAATTCTTCCAATTTTTTTCAGTGACAGAAACATGATTTATCATTATACATTCATTCATACTATAACAAAATGCTATTTTATCATAAATGTGATGTCTGTAATTTGACTCTGACATGCAATACCTACGTGTTTGTACCCTATTGATAGATAATTCACTAAATATGAAGGAAAATAAGAAAAAAAGATATTGTAATGTAAATATTCAGATAAGCATCAATATCATTGTGTTTGTCAATCTTTCTTCGTTATCTGAGTTGAGCAAGTATCAGTGTGTATGCGCACTCGAAGGCGCAAGTATTTGCACTTGTACTTGCCATTCGAATGGTCGGTACTCGTATTGGATAAAAACCTGTACTTGTCCAGTTCTGTTCAGAGTTTCTCAATTTTATAGAAATAAAGATTTTTTTTCAGAAGTCATTCGCGTTTCCTGATAATATTTGAATGCATTTTAAAAAGAAAATTCCTTTTTTTTGATGGATCTAGTTGATCATTTAAATTGTATGATGATTTCAATCTGAGCTAACATAAACATATATCATTTGTTTTCCTCTCCATACCTGCGCTTAACTTATTTTAATAACATTATCCATTCAATCACGTAAATTATTACTATACCCTTTATAAATCGATAAATATTTACATGATGTATTTTGTAGAAGACTCTGCTTAAAGATAGTACCCTAAAAATTTCATCTATTCAATTAGTGTTTTATATGAAAACACAAGTTATGACAACCTAATTCATATTAGTTTATTTCTTTTTTTGTCGAGTTTCGATCAGATTCTTCGAATTATTATGAATAGCATGTTGTGTATTGTCACCAGTTTTCATATGAATATGAAATGCATGTTTAAAATACGTCGCTTATGATTCTCTAAATTATAGGTATTGTGTGACTGGGAAAAATATTAAAGTTTCGGTTAATATTAAATTATGGAAGTTGAAACAATACTGAATTTCAGATTATTATACTATTCTTTACAATCAAGTCATCATGTTCCCGACATTCATTTACTTGTTCTAATCTACTATGAAGTTTGTCTAGTAGATCATTGATATGAATAATTAATAATTCGTGAACTTGAATTATCATTATTTTCTTTATCGTTCGTCTTCTCTGATGGATTATCATTTATCACAATTTAATTTATTTCATAAACGAATACCAATCAGGATTATTTTCTTGGCTTTTTAATGAATTTTCAATATGATCAAATCCTTTTATAACTTTCCTGATATCTCGACTAAGAAGACAACAATAGCGGAACAAATTAAATAGTATTAAAATCTTGTGATTAACTTGGGTAATAAACAGTCACTCTTTATTCTTAGGGGTTGCTAATCACGGAAAAATTTACAGTGGAGGAGAGTGTCATAAAAATAATATAAGAAAGTAAGAAAATCTAAGATAAAATGACGATTCGTAAGAAATTCCATCGTTTTGTCGACGAAGAAAAACAATAAGTTGAAATAAAACTATGACGAATATTTTTTGATACGTTTTGTGACTTTATTTCATTTAAATGTGTCATCCATTGATCTCATAAGTAGAGTGAAACATTATGGTATCATTTATTTATTCATATTTCAAGAAAGTCTAAAACTATTTTGAAGAAAAAAAGTTTCTCTACCTGTTATAATCAACTATTATTCACAATCTACATGTCAACCATAGATGTAGCAAAATATTTAGTATTTCAGAGATGTGTCGAACACATATTTCAACTAAATGTTCTATAAAAATTCAGAAAATATTTTTCATTATAATATTTCTGCATTATTCTAACAAAGACAACAACAACTTGTAACATTTGATATTAATAAAGGCAACTCTAAAATGAAATATATAGTTTCTTTTTACTACTGGACGTCTTTTCTTAAAATCCTGTTCTTTTCAAAATTTCTATTCAAAACTCTTTAAATCAAAAATAAAATACTTTTATTTGCATAAAGTCTACTTATATCTTTCTGTTGTATTCTATATAAGAAATGAGACATCTTAACTGTCAATCTAGGATATTTCATCAATGAACTTATTATAGATACTTTTTATATATTAAAATACAAAAAGCAGAACAATGAATACTGCATTTGCTTTCTACTGCAATTCTTTTTAATTAAACAATATTGATCAAGATTTAAGCTCATGTGGCAAAATGCATATGCAAGAATCTTTTCCATACAAAATGACGTCGAGTTGCCAAGGAAAAGCGCAATAATTGATATCAACGGTTAACTCGTGTCTTGCTTTTGTACGTTCGTTGATCAGGGATATTCTGAAATTGTCACAATCCATTATTAAATTAATAACATCATTTCTTTTCATCTCAATGGGACATTTTGAAGATATTGCGTTAGCTTTTCCATTTGACCAGCTATAATTATTGCTGCTCCATCCATATACTGACCTTGTCATATAAGCTTGATTTTGAAGAGGAGTTGATTTAGTATTGATTCCAACAAAAAGCCATTCTCCTCGTAGTTCTTCAATACATAGCCGAATTTTATGAATCCCTGAACTGTATTCATTCTTGCCACGAGCTTCCACGTGTAGACAAGAGCCAACGTGAACAACCATACGGCCGTTCTCTTGACACTGCACAAGATTGTCAGATACTCGTTCGAATAATTCGTTTGTTGGCTTCTTCATTATATTGACAGCTGGATTCTGAATTAATGGGTTTTTATTCACTGACTTAATGGTTATTACTGATGAAGAAAAAATATTCAATTTGAGATTTTCAAGTGTTTCTTTCCAACGACAAAGATCTAGCTCAAGAAAATCGCCATGTTCACGACATTCATTTATTTCTGTTGCTAGATATTGTAATTTCTGTGAAAAATCATTTGTCTCATTTTTCGTCAAGTTTGATAATTCTTGTCGTAATTCTTTTGCTCGTTGTTGAATTTTGAAGATTGATTGAGTTTCCCAGTCATTGACTTGTTTAATAAGTGGATGATAAGTTGGATTTTTGATTTGTTGAGTAAGTGAATTTTTCAGAACATCATGTTCAGTAATTATTTTATTCATTTCATCATTGAGTAGATTACGATGATCAGTAAAATGTTTAGAACAAAATGCTTGTGAACATCCATCGCAAGTGGTGATTGCTGCTTGTTTGCAACCATCTCCGGTAGAACACGTTCTTTTAGATGATGAAAACGCCATCAATTTGTTGACTTGACAAACAGAAAATGAAAGAAAAAAAAGAGAGCGAAAAAGAAAGAAAAAAAAAAGCAAAAAAGAAAGAAAATATACCCCAAGGTAAATAAACGAATGTATTCATCTTGTGCAAAGAATAAAAATAATATAAAGTTTCCCATGAGTCATACTATACTTTGTTATGAAGAAATAAGTCGTCAAACAAAAGTTCATTAATAATTTTGGAAAATATGAGATGATAATTTTCAGTTGATTAAAGAAACAATATTATGTTCTTCTCGAACCTACTATTTTTCTGATATTCAAATAATGATACAACGTATGCGGAGATGTTCTTTTGAACAATTACAGCTAGATAGAATTTGTTTCAGTTTAAAAAGTTATCTATTCGCAATGATATATAAGGTGCGCACAATTCAGAACTTCAGCGAAATTTTTGCTTTTATTGGACAGAGCTCGTTGATTTGCATAAAAAAAGACATGTTTTCGATTGTTCAAAAATATTTTTTCATAAAACAAGCAAACTGTAAATACTGCTGTAATAGTTTACATTATGATCTTGACTTATGGGATCCCGTGGGTCCGCATACATTTCATCCTGGACGCTTTGCTGCTAAACGACATGTCGTGGCATGAAATCAATTTAGAATTGAATCAAGAAATTGTGCTGGAATGTGGTTTGTTCTGATTGAAATTAAAATAATTCTTGTTCGTCTTCTCAAAACGTTCACTTTTATTCAATGTGGAAATAAAACATATCAATCATTTACAACAACTTAACGAAGATGTTGTCAGAACACTAAAAGAATTTATTATTCAATTGCAACACAGCTTGAATGATGAATAATTAATATATTTGTCTTTGTTTTCTTCGAATTCCTTTTTACAATTAAATCAATATAGATGATATTTATTTATCTAAAGATTACATTGCTTTTCTGATCCCATAAATAAAAATTTTCATGGCTATTATTGCTAAATTTTTACAAATCATTTCTTCATTTACTCGATTCAAAAAAAGTCGTATCATTATTCTGAAACAAACAAGAGTTTGAAGTAGTGTTTATGAGGTGTAGTAACTCATTTTTTCATGTCCGTCCCCAACTGGATCGTGCAGGCTTCAATTTTTATTTGACAATCCATTCACATCTACCATATGAAACTATTTTACCTTGATAAATAATCTGTATTTAAACGTCTTGTTGTGTAGAATGGATGGCATATTGACTTCCATTTTAAATATATATGCACGAATTGTACAACAAAATATAATTCTAAAGATTAATTTATTGTGGAACATAAGAATCACGATGTAAAGAGCTTGGCTAAAATCTTACAGGAAATACATATGTTGACATGTTGTTGTGAAAACTTTTCTCTTTCAATTTTTTAAAACTGACTTGTATATCAATAAGAAGATCATGATAATGATTTTGTTAGTTTCACCACGAAAAATTTCGACGCTGACAAGGTTATTACGTCATGTCATGTATTGATATTTGCGGACGACAACATAACTTGCATAAATTACAAAAATACAATTATGGAAGAGGAAAAAAAGAAATCGTTCAGTGAAATATCGTGAAAACGAGCAAAAAGTAAATGCGAACAATCATCTTCTTTTCGTTCGCACAGAACACGCAAGAAAAAAAATGATATAGGTAATGATCTGCTACTCCATTTCAGTTATCAAAGTTAGAAAAGAAGAAAATATTTTCACTTGCTGGTACCTCAGTGCTTGTACCTTTCGTTATAATTGTTGCTTATTTGATGGCATGAGGTACTTGTACTCGAGAAAATCCATACTTGCCCAGCTCTGTTCAGTATTTAACAATTTTAAGAAATCAAAATTTCTTTCGGGAGTTATTTGCACTGTTCGACAGTATTAGTATAAATTATCAAAGGAAAATTCTCCTTTTTCAAATGTATCAACTAGAATCTCAAATAAAACTATATGAAGTGTAAGTGACTATCAAAAAATCATTCCATAGATATTATTCCTTGTAGAAATATTTGTGCAAAACATAATCACAGTATACAGGATGGATCAAGAATGACTTTATCGAAGAAGAATTTGAATATCTCCGCCATTTTTGGATCAAATGAACTGATTATTTTATCACTGATAAAGGAGTGTTCATGAGTTATCTCCATACGAAAAACATTTAAAAGAGCTGCTTTAAAGTACTATCCTTGACGTCAATAAAAACTAGCTTGAAATGAGTTACGAAAAACAGTATTGCAGTTTTCTCAATAAATTCTAATTATTTATCGCTAAAACTTTCAGAGTACACTGAGTAGCAAGACATGCACATATGGTAAAAATTCGAGACGCAATAACAACAGTTTAAATAATTAATCGACAAAATGATATATATAGATACAGGTTAGGCCAAAAGTAGCAGAACAAATAAGTTTTTCGTTTTTTCTTTGTACATATTCAGTTAGATTTCATATTTTTACTACATATGCCAGGTATTAGAAATCAAAAATACAGGATATGATTAGTATCTAGATGTAGTAATTTGTTCAAAGGCTTATTAATACACGGCAGTCAAAAGTAAGGAAACAAGTCTGACCTCTATCAAAACGTTTATTAAAGCAATTGAACTAGAAAATGGCTAACACAATAATACCTATTTGTGAAGTATTTTTAACAGCAGGCTTTTCACAAAATTTGCTAAATATGTTCACTCCCTAAATCTTTGCAAAGTTGCAATTCCTCACGTACTGATTCACACACTCATCAGCATAATTCCACTCGGAAGCTTCGTCTTATTTATAAGGTTTTGAACAAGTTTCTGCATCTATATGCTGATCATATGCTGCATCTTTGAAATATATCATCTAGTGTATGCGGTAAAAAGATGAGATCTTACTGAATATTAACAAATAAAAAAATAAAAAAGTTATTTGTCCTGTTACTTTTGACCTACTCTGTATATGCATATATATAGTCGTGGACAAAAGTCCCACAACTAGGCAAAATTCATTGATATAAAGATTGTTTGCCTTGAAAGTCCTACCATAAGAAGGACTTAATGAATTCTGATCGCAAGCAGAAATTTAAGCTCTAGTCACTTGCCCTGGCCAAGATTTAAGGCCAACATCATATAATTTTTCCTATTGTATTATCTCAGCTAGAAAAATCGTATAATGTCATTCGATCCACTGTTAGAAAGCCCAGCTTATCTACTCTCTATTGTGAAATTTTCATCATAAATGAATGTTTTTTTGTTAAGTTATGAATTATTATTTGCATACCTATAGAATTAATGCATCACAATCTCGCCAGTATCTGACACAAATTTCACTTTAGGTTCAATGTTTTGACTTGAAAATGGTATTGTAGACTGTTTACATATGATTGCATTTGCACTAAAATTTTCAGATCTACAGCTAGCAGAGAAATGAAGATTCATATTATTCTATATCTCAAAACTGACAACTCTCGAAAATCACAAGAATGCAGCAGATCAAACTCTCCTTTGTATCATCAGTAGAGTATCATCAGAATAATCTATGCACTAAAAATATTATCGTAGTTTCATCAAATCCAAGAAAACTAGTATAATCTTTGCAAATCACTACTTCAAGCTTAAAATTAAAGAGAGTTATGTGACTTAATTTCGAAAATCCTTGTTTTTCAGGTAAATTTCTTTAAATTTTGAGCTTGAAGTAGTGATTTGTAAAGATTATACTAGTTTTCTTGGATTTGATGAAACTACGATGATATTTTTAGTGCAATAGATTATTCTGAAAATACTCTACTGATGATACAAAGGAGAATTTGATCTTCTGCATTCTCGTGATTTTCGAGAGTTGTCATTTTTGAGATATAGAATAATATGAATCTTCATTTCTCTGCTAGCTGTGGATCTGAAAATTTTAGTGCGAATTCAATCATATGTAAACAGTCTACAATACCATTTTCAAGTCAAAACATTGAACCTAAGGTGAAATTCGGCTCAGATACTGGCGAGCTTGTGATGCGTTAATTCTATGGGTATGCAAATAATAATTAATAATTTAGCAAAAAAACATCCATTTATGATGAAAATTTCACAATAGAGAGTAGATAAGCTGGGCTTTCTAACAGTGGGTCGAATGACATTATATGATTTTCCTAGCTTGAGATAATACAATAGGAAAAATTATATGATGTTGGCCTTAAATCTTGGCCAGGGCAAGTGACTAGAGCTTACATTTCTGCTTGTGATCAGAATTCATTAAGTCTTTCTTATAGTAGAAGTTTCAAGGCAAATCATCTTTATGTTAATGAATTTTGCCTAGTTGTGGGACTTTTGCCCGCTATTATATATAAGGATCATCAATTATGACCTCATTTTAAAAAATGTGAAATTTCTAATTAGTAAAATGGTTCACACAGGAATATCGTGATTCGTGTTTTTCTCATTATTCGAAACAATTTTTTGTAAAATTCAACTTCTTTTTATCTATTGAGTAACTGTTATTAGAATAACTTTATATCATGAAGATTTTTTCTTCTGTATTTCAAATTTCTCCTATTTCTACTTTTTTTATTAAGTAGAATTCAAAATGGTTGCAACTTCATCTGACAGTAATTTTTTTTTCGAAAAGATCTATTGCAAATATATGTAAATCAGAAGAATTATTTAATGTGTCTATTATGATTCGCAGTCATGTCTACCGACGGTGGTATCTCTTTATTTTGTAGTTCGATGATATCAATGCATAACAACATGATTTTCAGTGTGATATAAAGACGAAATAAGATTAGCCGAGGTGACTGAAACGATCATTTGGCTCATTATCATGAACCGCTATTATTGTTTTTTAATCGCTTTTATTGAATATGATCTCACTTTATCCTTTTTTCAACTCGTAGATATCAATTAATCCTCATTTAGACAAGAAACGTAAGACTTTTAAATTGTTTTGCTCGTTGTTTTCTAAATTGGTGCATGTTCGATCCACTAATCTGATCAGTAATGAATAAAAATAAGATGGAACGTCATTTTTCGTAAAAAGAATACAATTCATAGGTTGCAATTTAAACAAACCTGCATTTATCATTTTATTCTCTTCGACAATCATAAGAGTTCTCAAGTGTCTTAATATAAATCAATCAGATGAAAATTCATGCCATTTTCAGTGAATATATTTCTTAGATATTCCAGAACGTTCAATACACTATGATATTCTAATGAGGCGACGATGTATGAGAACTGGAAACACATTGTTCACAGAGGTCAGGCAAATACAACTCATAAAAGTATTATTGTTAGGTTCAATATCTTCATAATGAACTTATATTTTTCTCCGGATGCCTAAGTGGCAAACGTAATTTTGAATATGTTCCATAATTTAATTCTAGTCACCGGAAAAAGTTACTATGCATGTGATTGGTGAAAAAATATCATTTGATGAGGAACGTGGAGACTCAGTTTTTACTATGACATGATACAATAGAAAAGCGATGTATTGGAGTAAATAAACAGACAGTTACGCTTCAGTCGTTCTTATCAGTCAAAACAAATTTTTTGTTTAGGAAGTGCTTCACACGTGTAGTTACTTTTTCATTACATCATTGTTAAGGTAATTTTTCATTTCAACAATACTAAACACTAATATAATAACATTCTAGATTTATTCTTTATCAATCCTTAAGATATATGACTTGACTTCAAAAAATTTTCAATGAAAGTCAGACTTGAGTTGTTCAGCTCTGCTTTACTATCATATAATCTCTCACAACTTTCGCCACTTATTCATGTCAAAACGGCAAACCGAGAACTTAAATAATTCTAAGAAGACTTGACCCTCAAATAAAGCAGTTAAAAATCCTGTACTGCAGTTAAACTAATCTTGAGAGACGACTTCAATTAAACACGTTGCAGTGCTTAAAAAACGAATGATAACGAATAATTGTTGAATATAGTAAAACTGGTTCAGAAAAATACACGTAACCTGTTTTCATAGCTGGCCTTTCTGTTTTCAGACATGTTTTAGTCTTACATGGGATAAAGGCTCAAAGGCTGGCGCTGCAAATGTCTAACAAAACGCATAATTCTAGAAAAAATTTACATATTTTAACATTCACTGGGATAGTTCACGCGTTTTTCTTGAGTTTCGTTTGACTGAGAATCAACAAAATATATATACACATATATATAGAAAGAGAGACAATGTCTATTTGTGTTCGTTTCAACAGGTTTTCACATTTTTATTCATTTATTTTCGTTCGTTGATAAGAAATAGGATCATCATCATGGACAAAAATAAATCAAAATCACATATTAACGGCTCTTCTTCTTTCTTGTCGTCATTGATCATTAGAACGAAATCGAAGAACTCGTCATCGTTATCATCATCCTTAAACGCTGCTACAGCTACTGTTAGTAGTAGTAAAACGACACTAGAAACTGCAAAAATCAGTAGCACAAAAGCTGTGTTGTCTCAGCCTGCTTGTCACATGCTTCAAAATTTTCTTCTGATCTGGCTTGATGCAAATGTCAATGAATCTCAAGAAGATTTCAAATTAATACTACAAGAATTACGGCGTATTGTGGCGTCTGTAAAAACATTTACAGATACTCGAGAATGCGTCAATTTCTTGAGTGCAATAAAAAACGAGAAGGTATATATGATTGTGTCTGGATCGTTGGGGTCTCAAATACTACCGGAAATTCAAGCATGGCCACAATTGGAATCCGTATATGTTTTCTGTGTCAATAAATCGGTTCATGAACAATGGGCCAGTACAATAGCCAAAGTAAAGGGTGTGCATACACAAATTGATCCGATTTATAAAGCAATACAAATTGATCATGAACATGGTGATCGAGCCACGACCTCGATCAATTTTAATGGTATTGATACGTTATTTACTTATACGCAATTATTAAAAGAGACACTTTTGGAAATTGAAGATGACAATAACGAGTCAATCAAAGAATTTGTTGATTACTGTCGTCGTCAAGATACTATTGCTGAAGACCAAATCGACAAAGTTGAGCACGAATATAGCCATCATACACCAATTTGGTGGTACACAGCACCTTATTTTCTGTACTCTACGCTCAATCATGGTCTTCGACTAATGGATGTCGACATTATAGTCAAAATGATTTTTTTTATTCGACACTTGCACCAACATATTGAAAAACTATACCGGAAACAGCAATCAAACAAGAATGCCATGGATCCATTTCAAGTTTTCCGAGGACAAGGTTTATCTGTCGAAGATTTTTACAAAATGAAACAAACCAAAGGTGGTTTCATGTCGTTCAATAGCTTTCTTTCAACAAGTCGTAATCGCGAAGTTTCCTTTGAAAAATTTGCACGGCCACCAGCAATCCGTAATCCCAATTTAATTGGTATACTCTTCGTTATGACCATTGACCCAACCTTATGTGCAAAATCATCAATTCCATTTGCTGACATAACCAACCAAGGCTTCTTCGAAGTTTGTGAAGAAGAGATACTTTTTACAACACATACAATTTTTCGAATTGATCAGATTCAACGTATCCACGACGATCATACTGATCGGCTGTGGCAAGTTAATCTCACCCTTATGGGTAATGACAATGATGATTTGAACAATCTTACCGAAAACATATACCCAGAGCTTAGTCGGGCAACAGGATGGTCTCGATTTGGTTCGATACTTATGAAACTTGGTGAGTCTTCGAAAGCAGAAAAACTCTATAAGATTCTCCTAGAAATGACATTGTCCGATAAAAATCGAGGCGATTACAACAATCAACTTGGTTTCGTGTATTATAAGATGGACGAATACTCGAAAGCACTTTCATCGTACGAACAATCACTTGAAATCCGGAAAAAAACTCTACCTCCGAATCATTCTGATTTAGCTATTACCTACAACAGCATCGGCAATGTGTATAGAAACATTGGCGAGTATTCGAAAGCGCTCTCATTCTACGAACAATCACTTGAAATTCAGAAAATAGCTCTACCTCCGAATCATCCCGCTTTGACTGTTGTCTACGACAAGATCGGTAACATGCATAAAAACGTGGGCGACTTTTTAAAAGCAATTTCATCGTACCAACAAGCACTTGAAATCAAAAATACAGTTCTTCCTCCTAATCATCCCAACTTCGCTCAATCTTACAATGACATCGGTAGCGCGTATCAAAATTTGCGCGAGTACTCGAAAGCACTTAAATCGTTCGAACGAACACTTGAAATCTGGAAAACAGTTCTCCCTCAGAATGATTCCGAGTTGGCTACTTCCTACAACAACATCGGTGTAGTGTATTATAACAAGGGCGAGTACTCGAAAGCACTCTCATTTCTCGAAAAAGCATATGAAATCGATCAAAAGACTCTTCCTCCAAATCATCCGCATATCGCACAATCAAAAAAAAACATTGAAAATATAAAAAAGAAATTGTAATTTTTTTACAAAGAGAAGGCTAAAGCGAACTTTGTTTTTACCTGTGTGTTTAACATTACAGAGATTCTGCTTATCTGCTAAAAATGGGGGTCTGCACACATGCAACGAGAAAGGTTTCCACGTTTCGCTGGATCGTACAGTAGGGTCCTGCGGAGTCAACTTTTTCGACTCCGAAATCCGACCCCGACTCCACAAATTTTAATTTTTTGACTCCGATTCAAACTCTGAATTTTTTTTGTCTAAAATGAGCGACATATAATCTTTTCTGTTGTTGAAATTGTAACATAGACATAGGCAATTTGATAAAAAGTTGAATGAATGAAGAAAAATCAACGAATTATTAAAAAATTGATCTTAAATTTCTTTTTCATTTTTCGTACATAAAAAATTAAATAAAAAAGATTGCAAAGTTTTTGACAAGAAAAGAACTCGAAAAACTGATACATGAAAAAACATGAATCTGTAAGACTCGACACGTACAATACCCAAACAATCAAGAATTGATAATGAAGACAGTTATAGTATTCAGATGAAATTAAAATATTTTTTGATTAATCTCATTATGTTTTCATATAGCTAGTTTTTAGAATAGTATAACTAAAAGTTCATCGTATTTTTTGCCATAAAGCTCATTCTTAATCTATGCAACAAATTATGCTTTTTTATTATTGTGAAAAATAAAGTTATTGGTTTATTAAAAGTAAAAATTTTTGTCGGAGGCAGTTACACTTTCGACGCCGACTCCGACTCCGTCGGAGTCATAATCGGGTTTTGGAGTTCTCCGCAGATCTGTATCGTATAGTGAGCAAAGTTAGCAATGGGTAGACAAACATGCATTGTATATTGCCTAGTATGTCATGGAACAACTAGTAGATATGAGCTTACGATGATGTACTAGAATACGTGTATTCCATAAGATCTTCCTATCTGCACGTCTGTGCATCTACTAGCAAGACGCCGAAACCTCTCTGATGTGGCTAAAAAGCCACCCGAAGAATTTTTTGTTTGTTCTGTTCGTAAGAAGAAGAAAAAACTGTAAGGAAGGAAGGCACAAGACGTAAGCGGTACTATTGTTGATATCGAGTTCACGACATCTCTTCCATCTTTACACATATCAGTGTAGTGATAACCATTGAAACACTATATATGTTCGACGATTATCATATTTTCTGTGGAGATGGAACACAAATGTGTAAGAACAACTGCAATATTGCGTGAGCGGGGTATGGTTGCGCAAAAGGATATCTTTCAAGTAAGCAAACAATAAAGGAAGACGGCCCGCATGGCTTATCCGAAATGTCCACAACACATGTCAAGGTCTAGTCTTAAATGTCTTACCAATTCGTCATGACTAGTCACCTTTGGAGAAGTGTCCTTCAAACACATCTGGACCAGTCCAGAATGTCTTTGAAGCGGGTCATGTCGACTTCGTTTACCCCATCCGAACTAGTCGAAAGACTAAAAGCAGAGATTAAGGGAAGATTTGAACATCCAACCCGATAGTATTCGAAATGTGACGGGCATTCTGACTGCCAGCTATGATACTGAAATAGACTGACATCAGTTTATATAGTCTAAATCACAGATTGATACCCGTCCATCCACTAGACAATCGGAAACTAGTCAATGTCAAATGACTTTGACTATTTTGAAACGTCTTTAGTGGTAGTCAGAACTAGTCCGAAGTGCCATTGGCACGCGTTATAACGAGCCTTCTTTTAAAGCTAGTCTAAAAAAACTCTAAATAACCCACTCTCTTTGAACTAAATTGTGCTACTAATTTGTTTAAACTGATCAATAATGAACAGTATAAGAAGTAGAATTTAAGTAGAAAACTTTTCAGTATCTCTACCATTTGTTAAAAATAATCGATGGAGAATTAGATGCATTTAGAACATGGACTAGGTAGTAAAATAACCATCATTTTATTACATATCTTGTATTGAAACTTACGTAGATTGATGACTAAGCATCATGTGCTATATTATGATTACGGAAATTAAAGACATGTATTTATTTTATATGAAAATAATATTGATTTTCACCAGGGTTGTTATTTTTTTTCTAGCTAGAACGATAATTAGAGAGTCTGCCATAATCAATAGTGAGAGCAAAGATAGATAATATACTTGTGCATCTCTGTCTTGATATATTTTATTATATTTTGTATTTTTGTATGTTGAAAATACAAGAGTATATCGAAGCATAAAAAAAATAGATGTAAGTACAAAGCACTATATTTATCTCGCAATGAGGAGTGCTAATTTGTATATCTAAAAAGTATTAGATATACTAAATTTAAAAAGAAAAATTTATAAATAATTTAATTCTTTGTATATTATAATTTTATGCCATTTTATTTTAAATATAAATTCTGATAATTTTAAATTTACGGATAAATTTAATTCAAGCAACATTAATTTAATTATTAGTTGAAGATACAATTATTATTTAAATTAAAACTCATCTAAATCGTAATATGAAAAAATCAAGTTTCTTTTCAATACTAATAGTTTGTTTTTATATACCTACATATTCCAATTTAGACTAGTCCGAACTCATCCACTGCATAAGGCTACAACTCGTCCTATATAGTTTCCTGACGTCCTTAATTTTTCAATCTTAAATTATTTTCGGATGGACGTCTCTGTCACCTGTCCTGACTAGTATTTGTCTCAAAAAATCCTTGATCATGACTAGTCCAAACGCCTATAATGTACATTCGTTTTGATTTACAAATTCATATTCATGGGTGGGTCTCTTTTGACTCAAGAACTAGTCTTATCATGTTTCATGACGACCGTCAATCAGAGTACCAGGACGCGCACGCACGACGATTAAAAATTCAGATTTGTAACGGACAAGTCGGCATAACTAACTAAAAAGCACTAGTCATTTAGTCCGTGTTTTACTCACTTAATTGGAATATTTACAACTTTTCAAACCTCGTTTCTGGAAAAAACTTGAATAGTTTTCTAAGATTATAAACATAAGAAATCCCTAAGACAATTTTGATTTCATGCAATGAAATGGGTCCTTTCTTGTCCTATAGAACGAAATCTGTTCAACCAAGTATTGTAATTGAATAACTAATTTCTTCAAACTAGGTTGGCAACGGTCGAACTTTAGTTTATTTTAATGTTGTCATTTCGAGAAAATTCTTGAGTTTGGTTCCATTTCTATGCATTTTTGTAAATGCCCAAAATTGCTCATACATAATAGTGCGTTTTGAAAAATTTCATAAAAATAAAATTCATTTTCCTCTAGTTCATGATTTTGATCTGGAAAATTTTGAACTGCATCTAAAACATAATGCTTTTGAAAGTCTACAAAATATCTAATTTTCCTTCTTGATTCCTCAAAGTTCTATCGAATAAAGAAAACAAAAGCACTATTTTTTCCTGCAAAGTTTTAGTCTTATTTAATCAATTTTTCTAACGTAGAGCTGATAGCAAACATCCTTTTATATTTTTACAGAACGCTGAACAGGAAAGTTTTCGAAAAAAAACACTTAAATCAAAAGTGATAAAAACTGAATAAGGTTTTGACGGAATACTGAATTCGTCATTTAATCGTACCGTTTTTTGTTTGATATATTAATCATCTAGGTTTACAACTATCAGAAATAATTCTTCCAAATGATAAAATGATATAGATAGATCTCAGATCTGGATGTGGGTTTGAAGTTTGGTATTGGACAAAAAACACAATACATCCAGATCGTCACCTTACACTTTCATTCATCCCTACACCCGTAGTTAAAATTAAGAACCGAACCAGCACCTTCAAGAAAATAACCGAAAGAATGGCATATATGGTGGGTCTAACTATGAATCGTTAGATGTCAATATTGACAGAAAATTACATCCACACCTACACACCCTTTCAAAACTTAAATTTAAGAAGGAAAAGAAGATGTGGGTAAGGATTTGGTAACTGAAAAGATCTAGTTACTCACTTCTCCAATAAAAAGAAAAGGAATCGATCATGATATTCAACTTGTTAACTTCGATGAATGTCGAAGTGAGACCGATAAAAATTTCTTCTGTCGATTGATTTTATCGTTTTAGGAAGGCCTGGTATTGGTTTCAAGCTTGTTACTGTGTCTGTTATTGAGTTATAAGTCATTGATATCAATCAATCATAAAATTCAAAAAAAACATAATTCTTTAATATTAGATACTAATCATTTAATAAACTATAATTTAATCAATACACTATAAATAATGACGGAAAAAAAACAAAGTTTAATGGTCACCCTTAAGAAAAATGGCATTCTTTCTTTCATTTTATATCTACTAGAATAAAGCAGCTGTTTATAATAATTATATCATTCATTATCATGAATGAACATCGAATACAAAACAGACTTTTTCAATAAAAGTTATGCCAAATAATTTTATAAACAATAGTTTGTTTAATAACAAAAGTCATTTCTATCATTATTATAATCAAATAGTTAGTATTTTACTTATTATTTAACTACTGTTGTTATGATGAACTGGATCAAAATATTTATAGAATAAGGGATTCTTTTTCCTTTCTTATGAAGGAAATATCATAATATGGAAATATTTGATTGATGGCCTATTTTTTTTAGTTGTTTTTTCTTGCTAGTACAGTATCCATTATAGTGAATAGAACTTTATGATCATCACAAAATAGTCGAAGCTTGATCTATCCATATAATCAGCTTACTTGTCATTCGATAATTCTTTGTACTATTCTCCACATAGTAATAAATACAGATATACTGTCATATAAAGATGTTTATCATCAAAGCCTTATAAATTATTTTCTAGTTTATTAAAATGTTTATCTCATAGAGAAACTCAAGACTAACCTTTGTATATCAAAGAACAAGGAAGCAACTCACTGTGCTTTCAGAAATGAGAAACACCACAGTATCTTATAAAGAAAATTAATTGGATATTTATTGTTGTTTTTTTGTAACAACAAGAACAAAAACTTTCAGAGAAGATTACACGGAAAATTACAATATTACTCTATGAACATTTGATTTATAAAGATTTTTCAATAAATGTCTTGCAAGTAAATACAGCATATCTTTGATTACTTTCGTCTTAGGGGCTGTTCAGAAATTCCATGATCAGTTACGGAGGTACGGAAGTCCAGAGAAGATTATTTTTGACTAAAAGGAGAACGGAGTGCTAAACCGACCAAAAACTGATCATGCGGTTTCTCAAGTCGATTAATGACTCATTAGAAATATCATAAAAACATTCTTTACACATTAATATAATGCGTATTTAATATTAATGACATTTAAAATAACAACACAATAAACACAAGTCAATCTAATTAATGTCAATGCATCAAACAGCCTATTGATGTTTTTGTGAGACAGTCGATTGTTGTTGTTGTTTTATTTTTCATTGCCCATTAACAAGTGTTTTTCAGTTACCAATATTTAAAAGTGATTGTTCGATTATTTTTACTAAATTTAAAAAGAAAATTTTCAAACCATGGTGAAGAATTTATATGATTGATTAAAATTTGAAAATATTTAAGAACAAAACCAAATACCCAATGTGAATATAATGTAAAATCGGCAGCAAAAGTTTAAGACACCTTCAACCTTTGTGATTTTTCTAAAAACAAAGAAAGTAAGAGACATCTTTTGAATGCCATATGTAGCCATAGGTAAGGTCTATAGAAACTATCAATCCTTGATCTAATTGATTGCGGAATAAAGAAATAGAAGTAACTGCAATTTTTCTTCAATAGGCAAAAGTTTAAGACACTTAGTATTTCGTCGATTTTCTCGTTATTGGAAATAAAGAAAATCTTCAAAAGCATACCATTAGATGCAGAATTGAACGGGCTACATTTTGGTATACAAATGTTTTCCTTAATGATTAGTTATAATAATTTAATATTATTAATTAATTAATTTAATTAATTAATAACTACAGATAAATTTTTCATATATATTTGACTTTCAAGTATATCGTTAGAAAGAGCATTCAAAACTGATCAAAATTATATATTTTTTATTTCACAACAATTCGTTATAGTAGAACTTTTTTAAGCACCTTTGAAAATTTAATTAATACTCTATCAATATTTAACGAAATTGAGACTTAAGCAGAAATGTTAGAACATTGAGAAATAGTGCATTTTGTAGAGCAGAATTTGTTCTATCGAATGGTATATTGGAATCTTCTGTACAATGTTTGTCTCATTAAATATAAGGCTTTGAACATATTTGAGCATGGAACAGGCAGAAAATAGCTGAAATTGTCGTTAAAATTAGTGATGGAAGTTTAAAGTGTTATATTTAATGAGACAAACATTGTACAGAAGATTCCAATATACCATTCGATAGAACAAACTCTGCTCTACAAAATGCACTAGTTCTCAATGTTCTAACGTTTCTGCTTAAGTCTCAATTTCCTTAATTATTGATAGAGTATTAATTAAATTTTCAAAGGTGCTTAAGGCCCCTCCCCCTCAAAAATCGATCTCAGCCCAGGAACATCCAAATTAGATGAAACTTTCAGAATATGTTGGGCCTGGAAACAGGAGACTATCATAAATTTTTCAGCCCGAAATCGTCAGGTTTCAGGGAGATATGAGCCAAACAAGGGTCAAAAATGACTCATTTCGCATCCCAAATTTCTCGGTCCTGGTTCGTTCAATATATTAATTTTTTTTTTTGTTGGAAAGAGCATCTCAAGACGCAGGGCATACGGAAGCCGCTTTTTTGAAATAGTCCTTTTTTAAGCGCAAAAAAGGGATCAAAAGTTCAATGACTGAAAAAAGTGTCAAAAAATGGTAACCAAATCATATAACTGGTTGTATATTGACCAAATAAAGGCTTAATTTAAAAAAGCGGCTTCCGTGTGCCCTGCGCCTTGAGATGTTCTTTCAAACAAAAAAAAATATTAATATATTGAACGAACCAGGAAGGAGAAATTTGGGATGCGTTTTTGAGAAAGCGGAAACTGAGAAAAAACGAAAAACATTTTTTGATTTTTCAAAAAACAGCTGATTTTTCGAATAGAGGTTGACGGAAATCTTGAAAATTTTTGGGAAAAATGAAGTAACAAGAAAAACCAATTATCGTTTATGAAAGAGCAGATGACGGGCTATCTCCCCATGTATTTATCTCAATTTCGGAATTTTTGACGAGAATTGACTTGTTTTGAAGGGGGAGGGGGCTTAAACATGAACTCTGATTGTATTTTCTAGCTTGACTCTTTTCTGTCTTACTCAATGAATGTTCGATGAAAACAAAAATAAAACAAATAAATAATTTGCCAAATAAAGAGCATTTTAAGTATGACGATATTCTATTAATCTGCTAGAGAGTAATTTTTCTTCTTAAAAATTCATTATGGAAGCTTCACAAATCTTTTAACCTTTTCATCTGAATTCGAATAGTAGAGATTATGCATGGACATGAAGTACTAAGCAAAAAAACCTTATTCAATGAATGTATTCAATTGATATTTTTATTTTAGCGCTTCCTTGTTATCACGTATGTCATCAGTAATTTCTGATTTGATGTAAATGTATGAGAACAGGTACCTTAATTTGTAGTTTCTCGTACTAATGTACCAAACAAATTCAAATTCAACTATCCGTTGAAGGAATTATTCAGACGCAACGTTCAAGTAGTAATCACATTTTTTTATCCTTTCTCTGTTCGCCTTTATCGATCTCCCTCGTGAAGAAACAAAACTAATGAGAAAGTCTCTCCAGATGTCGAATCACTTTTCGGCCAAAACGATGTTTATTTCATAGATACTAGTGAGTAATAAGAAAGTCTACAATGGTTTGATTTTTCGGATCTTTGTTTTTGAAATATTGAAATTTTATTGGATTTTTCAGCAAAAAAGATGTGGTCATGTGAAACTTACAGCTTGTCCAATGAACTAATCTCATTGAGAACTTTGTTTATACAAAATTTGAATAGTGTCAGGAAAATCAAACCCTTCCAGACTTTTCTGTTAATCAAAAAATGAGCATTGTTCTGTAGAAAAATGATTTAACAGCTGGAGAGGTTCCCTTATAAGCTTCGATATTTCGTTGAAAGTGATGTGAAAAGAGCAAAATATTCGTAGTACGCGTCTTGACATCCAGAAATGTATAACCCCTGTCCTCTCTGTCCAGTTTTGACACAGCTTCATCCTTTATAGATGACGTCCATATAGTTATGAAAAACGAATAACAACTTACTGGCCTGAGTATGATGAATTTAGCATTTCTATTATAGTGATTTGAAAGCAAATTAATTCCTTCAGAGAATGATGATGCATCATTTAGAACGAAAAAAAAGAATCCAACATGCAATATTGACTCACTATAACTTAAACAATATTATCGAAATATATTGACTCTATTGACAATACTCATAATTTGTCATATTTGACAATAATTAATGACTTCGTTGTAATATAAAAATGAATGACATATTTTAAACAAAAAGAACAATTCTGATCATTCTTAATCTATCATAGGTTCACCCATTTAAAAATCTCTCAACCTAGGACAAAATTATATTTTTTAATAAATTCTGTATACTTCTGTTATTATTGATAATAATAAAAAAAAGAATTTCTATGACAACATTTATTCTGTTTGTGTTGAAAATTTCTGTTTCGCTGCTATTATCTCATTTATATTAACAAAAAAAAGATAAAAATACAATTTTCATCATGATAATCCTTAATTTTAATCGATGAATAAAAATATATTAAAATGAAAATGCCAACTAAACAATCAATGAATGCTGATCATCAAAGTTCAATATCTACAATTGATCAACAAATTCAGAAGAAAATAAATGATCCACCAAACCGAAATAATACAGATATAAATAAACACAATATGACTATTAAAACAACGAGTTGGACAGAACGAATTAAAAATTATTTCATTACTAATGATGGTCGAATAGCATTAGCTGATTTTATTTTTACATTATTATGTGTTATTATTCAACATATTATGGGTACATGTGAACATTCTGTAAGTAATGGTAGTACAGTTATTAAATGGTATGTTTTTACTCCTCCATGTATGTTATTTAATTAATTATACAAAAAAAAAGATTATTATAGTTAATTATTAAATTTTAGTTGGAGCTGGCCCTCATACAGCTGTTTACTTTTTTGTTCTTTCATGGACAACCTTAGTTTATTCTATTGAACGTATTTGGGTTTATTTAATAACGGATGTACGTACATCGAAAAAACGTGATCTTATTGTACATGGAATTATTGTTATTTTATATGTTATTGCCTGTGGTTTTAATATTTGGGGTAGATTGAATATTATCAATCGAAATTTTAAAAACAAAAAAAAAGCTTTTTTTTTTGTTCATTAGGTTATATTCTATGTGAAAGTACAAGTCAAGTAAATGCATCGAAAATATTTGCACCAGGTGTTTGTCGAGGAGATAGTCAGGCATGGTAAAAACCAAAAAAATAAATTTGATAATTGATTTTTATATGAAATATTCTCTTTATTTAGTATTCCACTTATTGCTGGTATTTTAACATCATTTGCAGCTGCTTGTGCATTTTTTTCTGAACATATAATTGCTTTAATGAAATGTAAAATATTCAAGATGAATTTATTTTAATAGGAAATGTTTTTCTTTTTGATTTAGTATTAAGAAATCGTCAAGAATCGAATAGCTCAATATCAAATCGAATTTTACTTTAATGTTCGTTGATGAGGTTTTTTCTGTGTATGTGTGTTTTTTCGCGAAATAAAATTAATAAATCGAATACATATTTATTTAGAGAATTAGTTTAACATTTGTACGTTGCATTGTTGTAAATCTTAGTAGAGTATAATCTAACTTCATGGATTGGTTATTAATTGATTTTTCACAAGCTCTTTGTTCGAATCTATTTTAAGATATGTTTTTTTTTCGGTGCTAAAAATAAAACATTCGAAAATCGGTATGTTCATTTATAATTAATCGTCAATTTCTTAATAATTTAATTGTGAGAAAACGTTGCAAATTGTCCAAATTAAGATATTAGCTTGTGATATAACTACGTGCTTCTGTTGAAAAACAGTACAAAATAGGTGTATCTTTAAAATGTTAAGACCTTCACAAAGATACATTCATTCTGGTTCCAAAGGACTATGAACAAAAATTCAGTTCGAAATTCGATCATTTATGCTATCAGCGATTCTATGCTGATAGAACACAACTCAAGTAAAATACCCATAACTCAAAAGACGAAAGTCACAAAATTAAATCAAAACACACTTTTGTACTACATAAAAGACCAATCGAATGGTTATAGTCTCAAGTGAAAAACTTTTTGATAAGTCGATGATTGAACCATCATCGATTTGTAAAAAAAAACATGTAATGCCGTCGGCAAAGTGTAAAAAAAAGAGTTTTATTGTTTGTTTTTATATGCGCCATGTAATACGAACGTTTTTTTTTTCTATATAACAGCTACACTAATTGCTGTTTATGATTATGTGCCAGTGCTATTGAAGCATAATTCTTTTCTCTCTCAGATTTTGCCAATTTTTTTGTACTGCGAGGAATAATCGTGTGTAGTGATGTGAGATTAATATTATCGCTGAAACATTGCTGATACAATTAAAAATTTAATTTTAATTCATCAATGTAATAATTAATATTCTTTCATACGAGTTTCAACTCCAATGTAGCATTGCTGATGATTTCCTAATGATATCTACTCTTGCTTAGATGAAACAAATACCATTTGCACTGAATTGAAACTGAGTTCAATTAGGTTTCTATTTCGAATGTGTCTCGGTGTTGAAAAGAACGAAATACGAAGTATAATAATCAGACACTTTTGTGTGTGGCTTATAGTCACTTTTGAGCGAAATCGATGAACATCATTGTTAGCATTACTCGTTTGATAGAGTAAATACATGACATAGAGAATTAATATTTTGATTAGATAAACTGTAAAAATGGGGATACATTTTGGCGAAAACTGCAACATGATTTGTTGAAAACATTTTGAGATATTAGAAGAACAAGACAATCGATTAGGAACGCTGCTGTACATATAATTATCTATTTATTGCAGTTGTTATATACATTATAATTCTTTGAATAGAATAGCATCTGTAATCAACGGCGTCTGCCTCTAAATATATTGTGGCATACGTCAATTAACATACGCTTTTCATTGAAATCGGAAAGCTTGTTTTATTTTCTGTAAGGAAATTCTACAGGGAACCTACTGACGTATTTTAATCAACGATTCTATTAAATAGTTTATTGCATAAAAGAATTTGATATCGAATATCTATTTTCTATATCATGATTTTATTTGAAAAGTAAAACATATGAAAGTAAGCGAAAAGAAAAAGAACAATAACTACTTGATTAAATGAATAATAAATGAATATAGATTAATAGTTAATAGAATGAAAAAGAACAACGTAAACCCGATTTCATAAATAAGTATCAATTAAAAAAAATACATCATAGTCTAACCATTTATTACACATGATTTTATCCATAAGAATAATAGTACACAATTGAAATCATGTGAAATGTTCGTTTGCATGACAAATTTTGTTCACATTTTTTTTGTAATCTTTATGCTGCAGGTAATTTTTGTTGTTGTTGTTGTGCTATAGCATGAGAAAAGTCAATTGAATATTTAACATTATCGGATGAATCTTTTAATGTGCGTAAATATTGAAGTGTACTAATATGTTTCGGTTGCGTTATACCTAATGTTGAACACATAGATGTTAAACCATCAATACGAGCCATTTCAACACGTTTAAGTGCATCAGCTTTGGCACGTTCACGTTTTAATTGTGCTTGCGCTTCAGAAAAAGCAACAGATTGTGTTGCATTATTACGATATTGATTAACTAATATATCGGTTTGTTTTTTAACAAGAGCTTCTTGATTAATATATTCTTCTCGTTCTTTTTCTAAATCACGAACTAAACCAAGTAATCGTCGTTCCATAACACGCTCCGGTACATCAATATCTAGATTGAATTAAAATGAAAAAAAGCAAAACATCTTTAGCAAGAAAGAAAAAACAAATCGATTTTTTTCTATTGTTTTTACCATGTAATTGAAGATATCGTACTTCAGCAAAAAAACCTTTTTCTTCTTTTTTACAACTTTGTTCACGTGATTTACAACCAGCAACACATTGTTCATGTATTGGACATTTTGGACAATTACGTTTACAATTTGGAATGCAACAAGAACCACCTAATTGAGTCGTATTTATTTTAATTGTAAAAGAAAACAAAATTTTTATTCACCTAACTGACGTTTGACACCAGCATATATTTCTCGCCAAATTTTTTCACGATCATTTATAAATTCATCTGTGTCAAAACGAGAACAAGTAGATATAATAGCTTCTTTAGCATTAGATACAATTATTGGTTCATAATAGATATCATATGCTGTATGAAGTAATGGTAGGTCTTCTTTTATCAAGAAAAATTGAAATGTAATAGTCTACAAAAAAGCAAACTAATTTTATATAAAAATTTTTATATATAATGGATGCGTCAGAAAAAATATTTCTATAACGGGGAAAAGCTTCCTAGTGATACCTCGCGTTTGAAATGAAACAAACTCACATTAGACAAGGCCTATTAAGACTAAAAAAAAAAGTCTAGAAGAATTCATCCTCATGCGATGTCTTGCGAGAGTTATGATCGATTCATTGGATTTTTTAAACTTGTATATAGTGCTTATAGAAAATTCGTTTGTTCGAATAAAGAACAATTTATTCTGGAGATGTCAAAATCTGAAAAAAAGAAACCGGATTGTCTATCCTTTCTATAGGCTATCATGTTTTTTTTTTGACGATTTGATGTCTCAAAAAATTATTCTTTTTGTTTGAAATTTCTCTCAAGAGCTGTTTATGAACAATGTTGGAGATCAGAATTTGTTTGTTCGGTTCTTTATTAGTATCATATCCAACGTACAAAAGTTCAGTGAAATCAGACCTTAAATTCAAAAGAACAGCGCATGGTGAGAAATTTGTCTGGTTTTTTTTTCAACTCTTCACAAATTTTAGCGTATGATAGCTGTCTCATTTCAAATGGCGAGGATAACCTGGGGTAGTTTGCTCGTAAGTATTTGCTCCATATCGTGTTCAAGGGTTATTCACATGCCTTTTTCTTTCTTCTTCAAAGAATTTACGATTCAAATGCTCCACAAATACGTATCATATAACTTTTTCTACACTAAATACTAAACAGAAAAATCGTATAAATAATACTACAAGGCCCAGAATATGTTCAACTTTGACAAATAAAAAATAGCTTGTTTGGTTCTATTCGTTGAAGTCTTACACTAATGAAAAAAAAAGAATAATCTTGTAACGTTTGAAAAGCTCTAATATTTGACTATGCTCGTAATTTTTTCTATTGCAATCTGTCAAGTAAATATTTTTTTTTAAACTTTGTAAAAAAACCGGTTTAAAAAATAAGTGATGTTGAGGTTCTCAGAAAAAGTTGCATAAATCGACAAAAAGACAACAATGAGTCAATATAACTCAGCCTCTTTTGTCTCAAGCGAAATGAATAATATATCGGAGCAAAATGCGAAAATTTAAATAGGATTATTTATTGCAATACATTGTGATGTTTTAATAAAGAAATTTTTGCATCAAAATGTTTTATTCTAATAAAGTTTACTGTATATCATGAGAAAGATGACACTTAGCTACACTCTTCAATGTACTCTATCGTGCTATTGTATTTTTACAAAGCTGCTAAATTGTTCACGAAAAAGAATTTTTGAAAGTTGAGCATGCTGGAGTATTGCAATTTTATTCAGTATAGCAAAACCTATGATACGTTTCTGTAGAGAATTGAATTGTAAATCTTTTATTAAGATTTGGCGATCTTAAGAAAATAAATCGAAGAATATTTATTCTGACATATTCATGATATACATAAATCTTGTTTTTTATTATTTACCAAATGTACTTCTAAATTATCAGTTGTAAAAACTGATATACGATTAAAGTTTACACTATGTGCTGTAGCTTTAAATTTTTTAAAACTAAAATATTGCAAAAGAAAAACATTGAAATAGAAATTCAAATAAAATATTTTATTTACTGATAATCTGGTCCCACTAAATATCGTCCACCTTCATAAACACGATCAAGATTAACACGTCCTGATGAATGTCGACGTAGAAAACCATAATTATAATAATCAAGATATGAAAATGAAAGGGGTAAAAGAATAACAAGAAGTAAGACAGCCACTATACCACCAATAACAGCCCCCCAAAACCAATTAGGAACATCTCCACTGCTTGCCATGATATCTACAAGTATATAATAAAGAAACTAGAAAGATTTTTAATTAATGTACAGGTAAACGTATATGAATATGGTAATGTACGTCATTTGTTTAGACAAATAAGAAAGAAAATAGAACATGTAAATATCCTTGATTTCTTTGACACTGTTTTATTTCGTCTGAAAAAGAAAGAAAAAAGCTATGTAAATGCATGATGAATTAATAAACACATATTAGACGTTTAGAATGGATGACTGATTCACGCTAGTGACCTAACCGATTATTTGTCTCTCAAGAGGAGTCATACGAAACCATTTGTTGTTATGGTATTCATGTCAAATGTTGACAAGACAATTTTCAATAGCTGTCACTAGTTGCCAATCGAATATTATCAACTAATTTGAAAGAAATATCAGTTAGAGTATACGAAATATTCATTAAAGATAAGCTTTGATTTAACATAACATCAAATCAAATTTAATTTAAAGTTTTTTATATTTATAAATTACCCAACTTATATTACACTATTTCAAACTCGGTGTAATTGTTAAATATAAAAATAAAACTATTTATCGACTTTGACGTCCTTATACAATTAGTGAAGTACTATTTATCCTTCCAAGGTTGTCAATAAAAACGACGCTATTATATTGTCGTTTTCCGTAATATCCTGAAACTGTTGAAAATAAAAAGAAAAAAAGACGGGTGTTTCATAGCAAGAAAAGCAGTCCCTCAAACGGAGTAGACAAATTACGAGGAACACAAGTGAACTTTAATGCAGTAACACAGCTTTTTATAGCCATTTCTGACTATCGGAATAGGGTGGGGATGTGGGTGGGTGTGTTAGTTAATTGAATGATTTATTTAATCAAATCGAAAGCTAGCAAGACGCGTTTCTATTAATCAATTGAAAACAGATCGATCTATATCTTAATATAAATCTATCTGCTAATTTCAACTTTTGCTTTTCAGCAATCGATTAAGTAAACACTAAATTTTAATATTTATTTATATATTGTACTTGAATTAAAAAGAAAAACTGTTCAAAATAAAAGAAGAATTAATTTTTTCCGCCGACGCGTTTCGCATCTTTAATAAGATAGTACTCTGTAGGATTAATGATGTATGTAAAGATCTAGAATAGATAGAAAATAATAGACAATTGATTATTATAATTATTTAAAGATAAAAATAAAAAATGTTATAAAAAAAGAAAAGAATTAAAATGTTTTGTTTTTTTTAGAAGTCAACTTTATCTATTGTTTCATACATATTGGAGTTGCCCAAGGACTTCCATTTATTCATTCTAAATTGAAGAATAAAGTCAATATAAAAATTATTCAAAGTAAATAAAATATTACTTTTTCGTTTTTCTGTTTTACACTTACATAATCTTTAATTTTCTCATAGTCCATTTTTCATTAATAACTATTGCAAGTTTTGTAACAGCTTGACATTTATGAAAATGAAAAATTATATTATCGAGATTTTCATGACATGTATATGCTATAGCATCATTGAGAGATCAATCATCATTTTGACATTTATATGGACGATATGAACATGAACATAATGGACCATCTACGTTACGAAAATCAATTATTTGACCACAATTTTCATTATGCACAAATGCATTATTGTATCATATTTTAAAATCATCTTGAATATTAACAATATGACATTGTAGGATTCCACCGGTACGATATACTGGATAGACTGGATATTTATATCGAAATTGATCTGGTAGGTCCCATATTTGTATGAACTTGGATGGATGAAAGACAACTGACAATAGTTCGTCGATATGTGGTAATACAAGATTATGTCCAGTAAAAAATTCAATATTTATAATAATTGATGATGATTCTTGTACAAGTTCTATTTGAAGATAATGTGTATCAAAGTAGATATCATCATAAAGAAATACGGTAAATTTATATGTTCGTTCAGCTTCCATCACCAGTTCTTCTATTGTAGAAGATGATGTTGTTTCGTCAAAAGAAAAAGTTTTATAAGATTTGTATGGTATGAAATTTGTTAAAGTTTTTATTCTTTTATTGCTTTTTATTTGAATTTTTTTCATAGATTGTTTATTTAATGTTTGAATAATAAATTTTATTTTTCTTTGCAAATAAAAATTAACAGAAATATAAATAGATAAGAATTCATATATATCCATTCTAAATAAGCATCAATGCTAGTACGCATCATCGTTATCTTTATCTTTATCTAGAATTAAAGAAAGAAAAAAAATGAATTTTCTTAGAAACAAAAATTGAAAAATGAATAAATTCATATTACAAAGCAATGAGAGTATTATCTCATACGATATTTAAAAAAAACAATGCGAAGATAATTCCATTGACTTGATCACTTCTTTTTTTGATCATCATTGTATTTTCAAAGATTCTAAACCAAAAAATAGAAAGACAATATAAAAATGAAATTTTATGAGAATTTAATATTGAATCAAATTCGATGTCAATCAATAATTTTACCTTATCATTCATATATATACATCATTTTTTTTTCGAGTCTGTTTATATTTATTTAATTGTTGAATAGACCATTTTTCACGAACAATACGTCCTAATTTAGTAATAGCTAAACATTTATGAATATCATTAATATAAGGATTCAAACATTCATCAAATGTATATGCTGTTGCTTGTATTAGTGGCCATTGATATGATGCTGATTTTTACCCTAGTCGAACATCTTGTAAGCAAGATCTTGGCCAAGATCTTGGGTACAGATTAGTGAACAGATCTTGAAAATTTAGGTGCAAGATAATACGATTATCTTGTACCAAGATCTGACTACAGATCTTGGGGACAAATGTGTAANAAAAAAAAATACGAAAAAAAAATAATGAGTGAATGGTAACATTGAAAACGAAAAATAGAGCACCCGTCAGAAAATGAAAAATAAAAAATTCTTGATTTTACATCTTCTGTATTTCGTATTAATATAACGAAGCTGAAGAACATATGTGAGTTCCACATTTTAGCCCCAAAGGGGCTGCGCTAACAAGCTTTTTCCACCATCGGAAAGTAATCATTAATTACTCTTTTCTTTTTAATATTATTCATTTTGTCATAATGGACAGAGTAAGAAGTTTGAGTCATTTATGAATCTACTACAGTGTTGAATTCATTAGAAACGCTAGAGAGCGATCGCTTTCATGCCAAAAGAATTTTCTCAATTTTTTTTCAGCAGAAAATGCTAAACAATAAGGAGCTGATACTATCTCTAATGAGCTTTAAAATGTGTTATATGATCATGATCGTCCAACATAAAAAAATTCTAGATCTACTTCTAATCTACTGAAGTAACATTAATAACTTTAAAATAAATATTTATCTTGGATGAAAGACTTCTTTAAAAAAATTGACCAAATCGATTGTTTTAAAATCGAAAGTTAGTTGTAATCATAATACAAATATAATTATTCTATTATCACACTAGATGTCAGAATATTCTTATTGATTATATTCAAAGCAAACAAATCAAATACGTGTTCCATATCATTTGTTTATTTCATCGTTCATTTTCTTTCTCTAAGAATTCATATTAAAATACAGTGTAAGGAAAAAAAGAACAAAATTAGTTAAATAACTTGATCATGTTAAAGATGATGCACAATTCTATATTTGTTATAGTATCCAAAAACTAATGAAATTGTATTCATTTTCTGTGCGATATTATTTATGTGCGTTGAGTAGACAAATTTGTCAAAATTAGTCAACAAAACTTACTGATTAGACTTAAAGTAAACTTCTAGAACTCAAAACTACAATGTAAATGGCAAGAGTAATGCATACTATTTAAGCTATGAAATGTTTTGTATTTTTTGTAATGATCAATAGATTCCGTTGGTTAACTATCTGCTATATACTTCAAATTCAAGCCAAACAAACTGATTAATAGAACCATACAGCACATGAACAATAACTTATTTATTCAGTTAATCTGCTCTCTCATGAATAAAAGATATTCTTTGACTATCTTATCAAACCAATGGCTTCAGACTTCTAAAAGAAATATTTTGTGGCAAGAGCAAACAAATACTTCATGTTCAGTTCTTAAAAAATGACATTTTTTAAAAATATTAAATCAAATAAATTTCATGTTAAAGAGAACTTTTTTAAGTGTTTATTCACCACTAGGCGCAATCATTTTCAAATATCACAACATGGGATAATAAAAAAAAAAGGAACAGAGTCATTATAATTCTTCTAAATCAACTTCAGGAAAATCGCCAACGGTAACTGCACTTGGTCGAACGAATGCTCCATATTTGTCAGGACATTCAAAATATTTCTTTCCTTCAACACTAAAATAAAAACAAACATTAAGACAACAAGGCTGGTGCTTTTTCTATTCTTTCTAATAATGAAAACTTACGAGCCATTATTTTTGCCTAATGGTTCATCATAACGGATACCAATCCATATGCCTGGTTTAAAGTGTACTTCACCTTAAAATTATAATTTATTAGAAAAAAAAATTATTTTTCTTAATGATAGTCTATTTAATGTATATCAACAATGAATAATTTTTATTACATACCTTTGAACATAACAGTTCCTCTTTTCGTTGGTTGTGTTGGAACAATAACTTCACATCTATGAAATAATCATAAAATTATTTAAAAATCAATGTAAATTTTAATTCACCGATCATTAACATTAATTTTATCAGCTAATTCTTGTTCATGTTTTTCTTTTTCTTTTTCTTTTCTAGCATGTTCTTCTTGTGCTGCTGGATTATATTTTCCTATTTTATGTTCTTGCAAAAATTGTTTTGCTGTATTTTTTCTTGTTGCATATTCTTCATTTGTTAATTCATATTTAGGTACATCTCCTGTATCATCAAACATATGTGTTTGTTTTAAATTTGTTTCTTCAACTTGTAAGATCATTTTTGATTGAACATTATATGAACCTAATGTACGTTTATCATCATCAAGATCAAATAATTTTGTTCCACGTTCATCATGAACATGAATTTTCATTGATTGACTTTGTGCACCTGTAATTAATTCCAATTGATTCTAGAATTATAAATAAGAATCAAATGGATTTGTTCTTTGATATTCTATACAAAATTTATCATTTGATATTTAGAATAAATATAGACATGAAAGAAAAATATACAAAAATTAGAGATTAGCATAAGATAAGACAAATGAAAACCGAATGCAGTACACAGATGTATCTTTAGGTATGGAAAATAAATAGTCTGAAGTAAGATTAATTGTACAAAAAAATAATAAATTAGCGTTTACTTGATACAGAGTTTAACAATATTGGTTTTTATTGTTCTAGAACCATTCACTATTCGAAAACCAAATGAAATAAATCAACTAAACGATGGTGAACAATTTAATCTATACTGTATTGTATCTTATATTTACTTCTAATTAAAACTGAGAACAATTTAGTATGAAACAGATTAATTATTTGATTTATTTTCTTTTTGTAAAACTATCTATCATCAGACTCCATATGATATAAAACTCCTCTCTCTCTCTCTCTCGATTACAGAACATGAAAAACAGTTCTATCAATAATCAATTTCGAAGAAAAGTAATAGAAATATATCTCTTACTTTTAATTCTCCTATATGCAGTGATCGTTTAAAACGTCGTATAGCTTCACTTGATACTACATTACTTTTAATTGTAAATTCAACAATATCATCTGCAGTTGCCATAATGATAATCTATAAATAAAATAATCTATTTAATTTGAATCTTTAATTGATAGATTTTTCTTTTTGTTTTTATAGTTTCTTTATTAAGTAAAAGTTTCATTAGGCTACAAGAATAAATAAGCAAAAAACAATATATAAATGTATGCATACAAGAATCACCAGAACAGATATACACAAATATTCTATCAAAAAGTAAAATACGGTTCAATGAAAAGGCCATTATTGAATCATAATCGAGAATTATCATCTAAAATAAAATTAATTTAATATTTTAGAAAAATAATAAATGTGGAAACATCGGATTTAAATCCGAGTGTTATGTGTACTTCAAAAAGTGAACTGGACAGATGAGTCATCCTAGCATGTGTAGGCATCAAAATTATCCTAGCGAGCCCCTTCTATTAAAACTTGATTTCTATTGGTTACTGCTCAACCAATAGGATTTCTGGGCAAGCGGAGCTCAGATTCGAGTTCTCCGCCTAGAAAACTTCGAACTATCATCTCTGTGATCGAAAGATGGAGCTTTACTTTTCGATCAATTGGAGCGTGGACAAAAACAGAATCAATTTCCATTTAAGTATCTTTCCAATAGATGACTTAGCCTCCTTGTTTCTTAATGTTTTATATACCATTTTGTAGCTCGTGAAATTCTCTATCGAATGGTATATAATAATTGGGAGTTTTGTTTGATTATGAGAGGAAAAGTTTTTACGAAAAGCGGAATAGGTCAATGTTCGCATAGAAAAGCATAGAGAATAATGACTCTTTTTCCGATAGCTCAGCAATGGCTCGACGAATCATTCTCATCTTCGAACTTGACCAAGATATTGATGAGACACAACTGTGTAGAAAATTTCATCGCAATCGGACTCTTCTTTCGAAAGTTATCGTGTAAACGGCCGGACACACTGACCGATTCTATAGTGTGTTCACTTTTTGAGTACACAAAAAAGAAAGATTAAATTACCATCTTGTGGTATTGCACGTTTTCGTCCTCGAGTACCAGTCGATGCACGTATTTTAGGACCATGCCCACCACCAAACTCATCATTAAGTATACGACGATAATTAATTAATGGTTGCCATGCATCACCTTCAATCGTTACACTATGTACGAGTTTATCCAGATGATCAAAACTAGAATACAAGAAAAAAAAAATAACAGACGAATATTAATTAAGAATTTTTATTTTGCTAAAATATTTACATTGCTTTTTTATCTGGCTTAAGAAGTTTTGAAGCAAATTCTGGTAATACTTCAAGAAAGACAATATTCAAACCGGGTTGTGTTAGATCATTGTGATTAAATAAGGGTGTTAAAGCAAAACGAATACATTCACTAAATAAAAAAAAAGAAGTCGTAAA